AAAATGTGTGGGATTGTGTAGCCAAGGAGCTGGTCAGCAGGGAAGAGAAGCTTGGCTTGGAACAGCCTGGCAGACTTTGGTGTTTGGGTCTGCTGCCTGTTTTGAACAGTCTGTGAGTAAGAATGGTTTTGACCTTAAAAAGGGGGACAGGGCTGGAGGTGTGGCTCAGCAGTAGAGCAGGTGTCTACCATGTATCCTAGTTAGCTTTCTATTACTGTGATAAAGCACTCTTACCAAAGAAAGGGTTTATTTGGTTTACACAACCCAATCACAGTTCATCCTTGAGGGAAGCCAGGGCAGGAACCTGGAGGCAGGAACTGAAGCACAGACCACAGAGGAACACCACTTACTGGCTTGCTTCTTTGGCCTGTGCTCAGCCTGCTTTCTTATGCAATCTGGGACCACCTGCCCAGGGGTAGAACCACTTGCAGTGCCTTGGGCCTTCCCACACAATCCAACAATCAAGAAAATACCTCATAGATGTGTCCACAGGCCAATCCGATAGAAAGGAAATTCCCCTCTTCCTGGTGTGCCAAGTTTACAACTGAAGCTGTCACACCGGTTCAAAGCCCTGAATTTGACACCCAGCTTTCAAAAAAATCTTTTTTCAAGCTTTAAGTATTTCCCATGTGGCTCTTTGCAGAAGTTTGTCACCTTGGTGTAGAATGCATAGTTCAGGTATTAACGCCTCTGGAAGCAGGTGAATGAAGCAGGTAGAGAGAAGTGGAGCCAGAGCAACACTGGCAGCCCTGGGACCTGATGTGAGTCCCCCTCTTGCAGCCTGAGGAAAGGTTGGGAGCCAAGGAAGAGAGCACAGAACCTGGCAGTGTGGGCAGGCAGGATAGAAGAGGATGCCGAAGAGAGGAGGCCTGGAGGCCCTGGGCTGCTATTCGCTGGACTGCGTCAGGAGGAAAAGCTGGGTGCTGAGCTGTTAGCAAGGGTGTCTTTTTTCCGAAAAGAGTGTCTATATGGAGTAGTGTTGTGACTGTTATCGTCTAGGGGGTCTTGATTTGGTTGGTTTTCTCCACCAGTTAAAGAATTAAAAGGCAGGGGGTAAAACTCAGACACAGCAGAGAGCAACAGGCCAAGAAGCTTTATTGAAAGATGAAGAATCACACCTATGCACACATTCATATCACACGTTCATACAGACAAACAAGCTCTCCACCAGTGGAGAAGGAGCTCGGAAATGAAACAAGTCAAAGCCCACAGGAGGACTTAGGTCTTCTTAGGTCTTGTAAGTGTTTTTTTTCTGGTATGGGGCAGGTTCCCCTCCTGTACTTTTGGATTGGTCAACTTTAACAAAGAAGAGAGAGCCCATAGGTCACAGCTCCAAGCTGCCAGATGAGGCCTTGGTCTTATCTAGACTGGTCTGGACCAGTCACCTAGAAAAGGGACCCTGCCAGCAGGAGAAAAAAGCCTACCAGGTCTTTGTCTCAGACAGAGAAGAAGCAGGAAATGTGCCGTCTTTATTAATCATTAATGACTCTGCTTATTGGATATTTAGTCCCTTATAGTAGGGTGGAATTCCAGTGAATCTGCTTACAGAAGGGTAGTAGTAACCATTAGATCTCGACCTTTTGGGTAATGTTAAGAAACCAGGGTTAGTAGCTGAAGGATCAGCAAGGAAGTTTACAAGACAGGGATGTCTGAGCAGGAACAAAGAGTGCGGTTAAACCTCAGGACAAAGGAGCTAAGTACCCCAGGAAGGGTTGAAGAAGGTGATGGGTGCAGGGCGTAGGTGGAAGAGTTGTTGGATGGATTGGGGAGAGGAGAAGGAGGAGGAGGAGGGTGCCCTAGAAAGCACTGCACCTGGTTCTTAGGCAATGAAAGGTAAGAGCATGTCCTGAGAAGGAGATTAGAGAATAGTTGCCAGGAGTGAGATGGACAAAAGGATCGGTGAACAGCATCCACCACCTGGAGGTCCAGGCTCCATCATCTTCCTCCAGGGGCTTCTTGGGTCCTGCTGTAGCGGAAGAGAAGAGGTCTTATGGAGGCTAGGATAAGTGAGGGATTGAGATGGACAGCCATGTCATGGGGGTGGAAATAGCTAAGCAGTGTCAAGGTATCTGCCTTCAGGATCTTAGCCAGAGATGGAGTTATGATCCTAAAAGAGCTCTAAGGGACTAAATGGAATTGGAAGCTTGAAAGGTTCCATACCCCTCTTCCCTAGATACCCTGGCCTCATGGAATTGACAGGTCTCATACAAATTTTGTCTTGGCATATCTGAAATTTGCACAGCCAACCTTCCATATCTAAGATTCATCCAACTACATATTGAAAATACTTGAAAATAATTGCATTGTTACTGAACGTGTATGGACTCTTATCAGTATTTTCTGAATAACACAGCTTAACAACTGTTTGCATAACATGTATATGATATTAGGTATAAGTAATCAAATGGTTTAAAGTATAGGGAAACATGGGCATAGATCTAGATGAATAGATCTATGAATAGATCTTATATCACCTTATATGAAGGAGTTGAGCATCCACAGATTTTCATATCCATGGAGTAGTGTGTCCTGGCCCAGTCCCTCAGGTACCAAAGGGCAATTGTATGTGCAGTGTACCAGATGTCCAAGATTGTGAGAAGAACCCCAAGACACAGATTGACCTATTGAAAAATCTCAACTGCTGTTAGCTGAGAGATCTATAGAGGAAATTTATAATCAAACTAATCAATTAAGGTCATGAGAGGAATTCCTGTAACTCAAAGTACATTATGTTGTGTTCCTTTGTTCCCTTCCACCCCACATTTTTATAGCACTATGTATGAATTTTAGGAATTTTTGTGTATGCCTCAAATTCATATATTGAAATCTAGGAAGTAGAGCTTTGGGGGTAGGGAGGAATTAAGTTATGAATGTGGAGCCTACAGAAATGGGATTAGCATCTTTATACAAGAGGCCTCAGAGAGTTAGCTTGCCCTTTAACCTGTATGAAGACACAGCAGCATGAAGGTGCCAGCACTGAGAAGGCAGGGCCATACTAGACACAGGCTCTTGGCACCTTGATTGTCAAGTTTTCAACCTCAAGAACTGTAAGGAATAAATTTTGCTATTTATAAGCCACTCAGCCTATGGTATTCTGTTATAGCACATCCAACGGACCACAGCAGACATTGAGTCATAATGTAGTAGCCTCTTTGCATGCTAGAAACTTAACTCAACCTCAGTGTTTATTATAGATTCTGCACACATTCTGCACCATAAGATAAATGGCTATTGTATGTTCTAGGATTGTACAACATCAAAGCAACCCAAGAAAAAAACCTGATTATCTCTTGCCTATAAAAGTGGGATGTTGGAAGAGGCTGTTGGTTTGCTTTGAGCCCTCTGCCCCTCTGCCTCCTATGCTTTAGTCAGGAGAGTTCACAGACCTCTTAGTACAATTTAGTAGTGCTAGATAGTCCTAAACCTTATTTCCACTTTGAATCACCTTTTATCCATATTTTGGAATAAACAAGTGATTTAAGGATGCTGGGCACTCTTCTAGTTTGGTCTCTGTGGCTGTGATAAAACACTGACCCAAAGCAACTTGGGGAAGGAAAGGGTTTGCTTCCCTTACAGGTTACAGTCCACCATTGAGGGAAGCCAAGGCAGAAGCTTGAAGTGGAGACCGTGGAGGAGTGCTGCTTTCGGGCTTGCTTCCTCTGGCTTGTGCAACTAGCTTTCTTATACAGCCCAGGCACACCTGCCTAGGCATGGCATTGCCTACAGTGGGCTGGGCCCTCCTAATCAGTTAACAATTGAGAAAAGAGAAAGGTCTTGTAGACATGGATGGCTACCAGCCAATCTGATCCAAGCCAATCTGATTGGGGCAGTTCTTCACTAGAGGTTCGCTCTTCCCAGGTGACGCTAGGTTTGTGTCAAGTTCACAACTAAAGTTAACTGGCATCTGCTTAGACTGCACGAACCTAAAAAGGTTCTGCTGTATTTGAATTAGAGTGTAGTGAACCTGAACACTATTGGTTTGGAGTTTATGGAAATTGGCACTGGGGCTACAAGTGGCACTGGACTGGGGTACGGTCCTTGTTTGTATCTTCTCTGAGCTCTTAACTTCCACAGAAATTAATAATGAACAGTGGGAAACAAGAACTAACACAGGAGATGTTTTCAAGTGGCATCAAGCATTTCAGATTCCTTTTACACAGGCATGCCCACGTGCTATTTATAAACTGTTCCATTTGAAACTAGCCCTCTAAGGACCTCAGATAGCATTTCATTACCCTAGTTGCTGTGTATATTTAGAAATAATTGGACCATGTATTTGTAAAGACATAGTCTGTAATTCTGTCTTCTCTTTTCAGTAATCTCTGTGCACACCCTCACCCTGAACGTGAATTAATAACGCCATACAGTGTTTGTTTCCCCCTAACCTTCTGTGTCACAAATAAGGCACATCATGCAAGTGGAAACATGATGAGTTCTGGGCCTCTCTGTGTCCAGAAAGCCATTATGAATCTACAGAGGACAGCAGTGCACATAGAGGACCTAGGAGGACAGGAGAGGACATGCCTAGTAGACATCATGTTCCTTTATGGAAAATCCTTTACAATTAAAATGGAATTTATATTTGCATAGAAACACCCAGAAAAGTGGCTTTGTTAATTGTTTTGTTTGAAGTAATTTTTAGGCTGATCTTTCTGTTGAAAACACTTAATTACTGATTTTTTCCCCCTTTCTCTGTGGTTCGTGAATTTTGCAGGCCCCTCCCTGAACTAATTGTACTAAGCAGTTGTCTACTGCTATAGCTGCTGCCAAACAGCTGTGGGTGGTAAAATAATTTAAAAAGAAACCACCAGTCCAAAAAAATCGTTACACTAAAATAACAAAGTAAGTAAGTAGAGCCCCATTGGCCTGTTATTTTCATCCCCGGGGATGGTTGATTATAACACACAAGAGTAAGAGTTTGGGCTCTGACAGCCATTCATGGATACCCTGATAAAGTAAAATGTTGACTTTATCTTTCTTCCTCTTCTGGGGGTCATTAGTCCTGTCACACCCTCTGCACTCGCTGAGCTCCTCAACCTGCTGGACAGTAAGACAATTTCTTCATCAGCAGCTAAACAGGTATGTCCACATTTCTAGAAGCTTCTCATAACTCCATGATCCCAGTAATGTTTTCTGTGAACTGCAAATGCCACCACTAAGTGAATTTCATAATTGAAGTATTAAGTGCTTCTGATGGTTATGCTTGTGGTATTTGGGTGCCAAAAGATTTGGTTTAGCAAGCGTATGCAACACGGGTAGTTTGCTTCTGGTCTTTGTTCATTGGAAGAACTAGTTATCATCTGGCTTTGCCCTGTCTCCTTCAAATGTTTATGTACAAGCCTGGGTGCCTAGCAGCTTGTGGGTGCTGCTGACCACATGGCTTCACCAGTGCCCAGTGGCTCCCAGCCCACCTGCTCCTCTAATGCTCTTGAAGCCAGTCCCAAGGCTGCAACTGTCTCTCACATGCCTGCCCTCGGGAAGCTTGTGCTCAATGAGGAGGGTGGGATCACATTGCCACACACTCAGGAGATGAAATTTTACACAGGCACCCAGAATGTGAAAATGCAGGAAAATAGTATCATGTAAAGTAGCCTTCTGCCTAACCTCCTCTAATGAGGCTAGCTGGGTAAGAGGTTCCTAGAATTCAGAAAATTCTACAAATAAGTACCTAGAAAGATAAAGAACACCTAGCAACCGCCTCATCTCAACTTCAGAGACCGCGCACCTGTCAGTGCTTCAGCCAAAAGCCTAATGTTATTTTAATGTTGCCTTTTGCATTTAATATTTATACACATTGACAGTAGTGGCAGGTTACAAGGTTACAAAGTGAGGCTTTGGGGAAGCGGCTGCTTTTGGTTAATTATGAGGCACCATTGAGCATACACCTCTGTTCTGTGAAACTGGAGACAGGAGCTGGTGAAGGATCTGTAAGCTCCCTCTCGTGAGGCTGTCAGCTGTAGAGACTCAACACTTAAGAAAGGCTTAGGCATGTGTAGATGTCAGAGGATTACAGTGCTCAGCAGTTGTGGAAAGATTAGATGGCCTGAGGGCAGAAAAACTATATATACATGTAAGAGCAGATGAATTGTAGCATTTGAAATGAAAGAAGAAAATAACCTTCCCCTTCTTCCTGCCCCCCCTACTCCACAACAAAACAAAACCCCAGAGCACAGAGCAAGATTGTTCCGGTGGGAAGAAATAGAAAGGGCTGGAAGATGCTGACAGCTGGTTTCAGCTCTAGATAGAGACACGTTTGCATTTTATCAACTTCAGTGTGTCTAAAGGCGCAGGTGAATCTTAGCTTCTGTGTAGCCATGAAATAAAAACCTGATGTTCAGGTTCAGTATGTGCTGCTGAGGGAATATCTGTTATGTGTCAGGGCCTTGGGAATTTCATCTTTTTATGTTTTCACTTTCTGTTTGTAAGAAAATCATTGATTTCCAGGGCAGAAATAATGTATATTGATTATAAAGGTTTTAAGTAGCCACCCATGGTGAGTCAAGCCTGTAATACCAGTACTCAGGAGTCTAAGGCAGGAAAATCCAGAGTCTATGTCAGCCTGGACTACATAGTGAGTTCAAGGCCAGGAGCCGCCTAAGAACAGCCACTTAAAAAAAAAAAAGTAATGGTCTTGGGGCAGACTCCCTTGCCCTCTCTTGAAGGTAGCACCTTCTCTCTCCTGTATCATCTTACTCCCTACTGTGCCCCTACTGTGTAGGGGCACTCAGTGGGTTTAAGTAAGTGTCACTCTTCTCGCTCAAGTCTTACTTATAAGGCAGCTGCTTGCCAAGCCAGGGCAGTGAAGTGCCTGTGGGGTCCCAGAATGAGGAGTGTGCTAGGCTTTCTGATCCCTAGAGCAGCCACATGCAGACTCTAGGTCCCTTCTCAAGCTGGCTGCTGGCTACAGCACCTCAGGACTTGATGTGCACTCCCATTTCCACAGCAGAGTTGCTAGGTAGATTTCAGGTTACCAATCTAAGAGACCTGCAAGTCTTGAGATTTGTGAAACTCCCCTGTAGCTAGGACTATCTGCATCCCACTGCTGACCTTTGCCAGGACTCTCCCTTTCACCTGCACTCCTGCCCGTGGCTGTGGAACAAGACAGCATGTGCAGGGCATTTGCTCTTTGTGCTATTGTTCCTGTCGGAATCTCACAAGGCCTTGGTTTTCCTCCTGATTTCTACCATTCTCCCATGATGACTAGCTCCCATGTGGCCTAGCTCTTCCTGGTGGGGGAAAAAGTGAAAGTTGCTCATTTCTTGAAAAATCTCATTAGTGTTTAGTCTGTTCTATTATACAGCCATCATCACTATCTGATCTAGAATTTTTCATCATCTCAGAAAGAAACTTTGGATGGACTCATTACTCCCTCCTCCCTAGAAAACT